TTGTGAACTCTTAACAAAGAAAACTTACCTTACAATAACTTGAAAATAATTTTTATTTTCTTTAGCATTTTACGGAGCATATTTAAGCAATAGCAAAAATAAAAGATGTTTGCATTTTTTATGCAAATCTTTTACAGAAGGATTTCCTTTTTCTTCTCTTCAGGGCCTCCAACTTCACGCTCATTTTAGAGTTTAAGTGTGCTCCTGGCGGAGTGCTTTGAAGAAGGACAACAACCATATGCACAAGAGTACACCCTGTTGTGGTCCACAGAGCACAGCATTACAGAACTACATGCATCCTCCTCATACACAGAGACCCCTGTAGGAAACATACCAATCTGTTTCTTGGGAGAGAAACTGGGGAGAACTGGATAGTAAGTACCGAAACAAAACAAAAATACTCTCTTAGAGATTAAAGGGTGGGGGAGGCACATTGGGAGTATTTTTGCATTCTGCAGGCACAAGCCTGTGTCCTGGAGCCAGAGCCATACAGAAAACAGAAGCTCTGTGCAATGTGAGATTAGGGGCTTCACTTCATTTTTGATCTTCATGAATTTACCACTGGGAAAAATAATGCAGGAAGCATTATAATTCAGTTTTACTCCACTAAATGTCAGTAAACAAAATGTACTCACAAGATTGTTCTTTGCTATGATGTTTCCCAGTTTGGAAGAGTAATACGATGGAATCTTCACACAGCCGAATTATCAACTGGTTTACTTACAAACAACTAAAATACTCTGTAATGTTTCTGTTCTAATCTAGCTAAATGTAAGCATATTCAAATCTACCTGCCCTTATCCATTTAAATTCTTCATATATTTCTTCTAAAATTTTCATTGTCAGATAAAATGGACCTGAGGTCATGATTGGAAAATGGGGAAGAAAACATGGCTCCCTGGAGCAGAACCCTATTTGCTTAAAGACAAGATAAAACTTCTTCTGTGGGGCTGAGGGTGTAGCTTAGTGATCAATCACTTGTTTAGTATGTACCAGGTCCTGAATTCAATCCCCAGCACCACCATTACCAACAAAACCCCAAAACAACAACAACAAAAAGCCTGCTTCTTCTAGGAGTGTAATGTCTTTGAAAAGCCTTGTAGAGATCCTGCCCTAAGGATTCTACCACTATGCTACTGGGGATTCTTTGGGAGCCTTCTGCAACTGTTTCTTGCTTGTGATGGCACCCAGCTCAAGGTCTGATGACAGTCACATGCTGGTCAGCTGCTTCCAGAAGATCCAGCAGCAGGAATCAGCCAAGTTTCTGGAGCTGCCTAGAAGTTTCACCTTGCTAATGGCTCCACTCAGGGAATGTGTTGGTAGACAGGGCCAGGCATATGGCATCACTTTCCTTCTCCTGCCCTGCCATGTCTCAAAGAACAGTTTTTATTTAGAAGAACTATCTGTGATAGATCCAAGTATCCTTGGAAGATCTATCTTTCATCTTTAACAAGTTGGCACTCCCTTCTGTTCACCTCCCTCAATGAAGTGCTGAGCACATACAAACACTCCATGTGTTCCATCATCAAACAACCTAAACCACCTCTACTTCCTCCAAAATTTACAGTAAACAGAACAGGGAGGGTCAGAGCTTTAGCTAAATTTAATAGTCACTCACAAGCCTAACGTTCTTTTCCAGAATCCTGACTCAAGTGATATTTCCAATGTAGAGCTGTATCATTAGTCAAGAATATCATTTTGTAAGTGACCGTCAGTCTGATTTAAGGTGTTAAGGCCTTAATGCGTTTCTTCCTCTTCGTTTGTCATTTCTGTGAAAACCTCTCTCTAGGTGTTTCATGGGGCAGTTCTTCACATGACTGCAAAAACTTCAGCTAATTTTTCATTTGTGAGCTCACTATATTAATTCCAAACATCCATCCATCAGATTTGTTGATTGTCAAAAAGGGAGTCAGTCATAATTTTCCATAAAGATAAAACATCTATCTTCATTCAGAGGAAAGCAAAGATAAACTACCTCCAAATAACAATATTTAAACGGTCACATATTTGCTATAACATGCTTTTGTTGTTTTAAACAGAGTAGCTGGGTACAATGCAAAGAAAGAGAAAAGGGTCAGCTTCTCACTTTTACAGGAGCAATGTTCAGTTCTCAGTTAAGAGGGCTGTTCATTTCCTTTTTAGGATAAAATCAACAAACTATTTAAAATGCTTTATATTATCAGTTAAATGATGCTACATAGTTAGAAAAATTGCTTATCTCTCATATTAAGAATGCTACTATGATTTTAGGGTGTTTCCTCTTCATTTTTAAAAACAACTGCCATCCCCAGAAGCCATGTAAGTTGGCAAAATCAGTATCACCCATCAAAATCATGAAAATTTTTCCTGTCCCTCTTACAAATCTGAAAATAACATCACAGGAGGACTACAATCAACCATAATAGTTATATTGACATGTGCAATTTAACTGTATTGATATACATAAGAACTACTTTATCACAAAGTTGTCTTCCTGAGACACTTGTCTTTCTATCTGTATTAAAAACAGCATTCAAGGGTAAGCATGTGCTAGCAGCACATTTAAATTGGAAAAATAATCTATCCAAAAAGATGACCCTTTCCAAAAAAGAATAATTAATTCATTCTGAAAGATAAGTAAGTATACATAAACACATTTATGCCATTTGAATAAATGTCCTTCCTTCCTTCCTTCCTCCCTCCCTCCCTCCCTTCCTCCTTTCCTTCTGTCCTTCCTTCATTTTCAGGGCACTGGGGATCAAACCCTGAGCTACATCCCTAGTCACTAACAGAGTTTCTTTATTACATTCTGCTTTAGAATGGCAAAACCCATGAGGCACACTGCTCAGGACCACACAACTGCCCATATGAAATAGCATTCTCTAGCACTCCATAGCAAGTGGGTTGGAGTGTCTTATGTTACTATCCCTTGAGGATCTCTCCATTTAAAGACTACACTTCTAGAATAATACAAAGTTAAAAAATAGCAAGCAGATAGTCCTGCTGTAGTCAGCTCTCTAAGGGAACATTTTGCTTTTAAAAAGCAAATTAAGGTTTCAAGTACAGATAATCAGACAGAGCTGGTGGATCAAAACATAATTAACTGGAGCATTTATATCAAAAGCTATGTGAAGAGACTAATTCAAGTTTTATCCCACACCAATATTCCTGTCACTGGGGAAAAGACAGAGTCATTGAATTCACAGGGATTTCATTGCACAACAAATCATTAAAAATTATACAAGAGAAAGAGAAAAATCTTAAATGCAATCAAGAAAAGATTATGAGGCCTATTAAGCTCAGGTAGCAACTTCACACTGAAGACAGTTCACCAGATCAAAGCAGAATGACCACTCTTGTTTTATTATGAGGGAGGCACTCCTTGCCTAAAGGTTACAAAGCGAGGGCTTTAGAAAAGTTAACTTCACTGCTGGGATCAAGTACAAAGGGTTCCCTTACCAGTGCCTCACTTTTCTCAGAGACCTGGTCATGTACTGAGAGGATGAGAATTTATGCAGGCAGTTTGAGGGAGAATTCAAACAGAGCACATACTTTAGCAAAACAAGACATCTACCACCACAGTTGATAGGCCTGAAACTGCTGTTGAAAAGGATGTTAGTTTGCTTATTTTTCTTAATTCTTGCTGGCTTCATGCATAATAAATGCCATTCTTATGGCCTAAAACAGAAATATTTGGTTCCGTTTCTGGTCAATAATGTCAACTGTATACATTTAAAAATACCTGAAACACATCATTTTTTTTCCTGAATGCTATTTTCTTCTAAACTCTCCTTACTATATATTAACATCTGAAAAAGAATTTGCTCAAACTTTCACCATGTAGCTTAGTTTATCCTAAATTTGGGCTTCTGTCACAGAATCTATGCCCCTCTAGGCTTGTACCTCCTGTAATAGAAAAAATGTGCCCTTCAGTACATAAAAACATAGAAAGAATGATAGTACAGATTCAAATTAAGTTGGAATAGAAATAAAATTTTCCCTGGGTAAATCATTAATATTCCAATTTTCCATGTGAATTTTCCATACAGATAGAATTAGATTCAAAAATGAAATTGAAATGTTTATTGTATTTGTATTCTATTATTTAAAATTACAGTGTATTTTAATTATTATTTTGTCTTAAAGACAAAGAAACATCAGCAATCCTCAAAGGCATTAGTTCATGACTAAAGAGAACTTGGATATCATTTAAACACTAAGCATGCTAATTTTAAAAATTGTATAGATTCAAATTAAGCAGCTTTGCATACTCTACAGAAAGTTTCATTCTGTTTCAACAACTGTAAATATAAAGATCTAAATTCTATTCAATTGTGCTAAAATATATCAGTGTAGTTAAAGATAACGGAACTCATTGAGAAGTAAAGGAAAAACCTAATTTCAGTTTCCGGATCACTAATTATATAGAATAAATTGTTCCTTAAGAAGGGTACAGCACAGTTTGAGTTGGCATGAGGTATTTCTTGACAGAGCACCAAAGTTAAGGTAGAGGACAAAAGGATGTGCATTGAAAGCTGTTGAAAAATAAGGGGTGGGAGGTAAAGCAGTAAGAGAGAATAATTGAAGGGATTGAACAGACCAAAGAAAAGCACACCCACAGTGGGCATATATTGAGACACCCCTTTGAATGTCAACTCAAATATTAATAATGAAAACCAGGTCTATAAAATAGGAAGAGTGTGGGGGCAGTACTAGTGAAAGGAGGGAGGGTGAAGGAAGGAGATTAAGGTGACAGTATATGGTTGATGGATTTTGTATATCTATATGAAACAGAACTAAAAAACCTCTTGCAATTGCTTTAAGTGGGTTAGGGAAGGGGCTGAGGGGAAGAGATGATGGGGTAATGTAAATAACGTATAATATAAGTCTAATCAGACTTGTCACTACAAATCCCCCCCTGTATAATGAATATATCCTAATTAAAAAATTATTTAAAAAGAAAAGAAGAGAAGGAATTTTTGCCCAATAAGAATGTAGCAAATTCTCATAGAGATGGGACACTGCTTGACATTCTGATATCTTTCTTTGTGCTGGCTCAATGAATAAGGAAGAAATCTATATTTTATTATGTAACATTTTTCTTTCAGATTCCCAAACAACAGACATTTGTTTCAAATATAGGTAATTTTAGCAAGGGGGACTTAGAATAGGAATATTCCATCTTTTATAGATTCTGTGAAGTCTTCAAAGTGCTCCAAAAACACTATAAGTTTGATTAGCAGCAAAGCATTAATCTAGTCAAAACCTCCCTCCCTCCGCCTTATATATATATATATATATATACATACATACACACACTATACATCAATATACTCTAGTAGTCTAACTCAAATATGACAATTTGACAATTAATTCTCAGATGCTGTGCAAGGTTGTAAATACTGTCTACATTGTATCATGGTTCATGACCACTAGCACCCAAGTGGTTAAGAGAGAACCAATCATTCATTTTTTAAAAATCACATATTTTGAATTTCTTTTAAGATTAAAAAAATTGGGGGATACAGTAAATCACCAAATATATCATTTTGCATCCTACAATTGTCTTTAAAACAATTTTTATACATTGAAGGCTAGATACCTTTAAATATAGTTTCAACAACGCTGAGTATAAAATGTTCATTTGAAAAAATATGACGTTTTCTTTTTTTAAAAAAATTTACAGGAAAGTTCTATGAAAGTGTCTCCCCCCACTAATTTTGCAGCATTTTCTCTCAAGAGCACATTAAAATAGCCCTGTCACCTTGTATATGTGTACTGAGAATGAAGCTCTCAAGCACTGTAACTGTCATACACCCTCACATGCCCCACACACTCAGGACCTTCAGAAAAAGGTCCTGCAGGCACCATGACATTTTGATCTTCTCTCCTCCATGCCCCTCTAGTGACTTCCAATGCTTGGCCATCCTGTGGTAGTGGCTGTAGTCCAGAACTTGAGCTTCACTGGGAAAACCAAGTCCATTCAAAATGCAGAGCTTTCATCTTTTGATTGGATGATTCTTGGTCCCCCATGGATAAGAGTGATACCTAGAAGATACAGATGTGGAAAGAGTTCCCTATAGTCACAAATATTTCCACCCACATGTACAATTTCAAAGATGTGGCTCAGGCATATAAGTAAATACATTATATTCTTTTAAAGATTCTCTTTGTTAGGATGGGAATTTTAGAAAGCTGATCTTTTGTTGAAAGTCAGTGCTAATGGTTTTTCTCAAATTATGAACTCAATAGAAACCAGTAATGCTCTATAGTAGAAATAAACACCACTCAAAGTGCCTTGTACTGTGTTTACATGCACAGGCACATTACAATCACTATTTTACATGTTCATGTCCATTAGTCATGAGGAAAGGAATTAATGCAAGTAGATTCAATGTAGATATCTTTGTATCTTATCATTTCTCAACACATATTTCATCATCTTCATTGCAAAACATTGTTAAATAATCTTGGTTGTGCATCATTTGGAAAGAATTATAGACACAATAACTTTATCATTCAAGTTTACAATTTAAGAATGTCATTTCAAACTTAAACACACATCATCTTAGATAACAGGGTTTATTTAGTTAGGGAGACAATAGAGAGGTGCCATTGATACACCAATAATGCCCATTATGAGCACCCTTAAGCTTACACTAATTTTTCATTGATATTTAGTTGATTTTCCTGAAAAAAATATGAAGATATTTGTGGTCTTTGATCCTGACCCTCTAAGGAAATGTATATAAAATGACAATAGTCACCTTAGCCCCACAAGCCAAGGGCACTTGAAATAATAAGACAGTCACACTGTCCAGGTAAGGCTGGATACGCTCAGCCCTTGAGCAGAGAGTGAAAATTTTAAAATCTCTCCAGAGATGGTGGGAAGAAAGTGGAAGGAGATGGTAATTTCTATTAACAATGTATCTTTAGAAGATGAGAATTACTCACCATACCTCTGCAGTTACAAATCACAACAGAACTAAATTTACAAAGGTTGCATTTTGGAAATATATTATAAGCCAAAAGAGCAAGAAGTTAAATAACCTTATGTGTGATTCATAAGAAAAATTCATTGAAATAGAAAAAAAAAAAAAACCAGTGGAGACTGAACTAACCTCAAAGAAGAATCTAATTTCCATATAATGACCTTAACAGGATGATTTTAAGCCCTCCTTTTCTTAAATGGCTAATAGTTATCTTTAAGAAACACTTCTGGAATAATTTGGATAGTGATCACAAAATAACTTAACTAGCTATAAAAGAAGGCAATTCGCCAGGCAAAAAGACTACTTTGGGGAATATACTCTTAACGGATTGGATTGTGCCTCCTACAATAACCTTGAGCCTTATGAGGCGTATGTGGGGATGCTTACAATCCATTTGATGATTCAGCTAGGAATGGCTCCTTGGAAAGGCCAAGAGACAACTTGTGTGAGTAGACACTGTCAGTGACCACACCTTTTCATCTACACCACTTCAAAAGCATGCTGGCCTGATGACCAGCTGCCATTATCTGATTTCTTTTCCTGAGGATTTCTCTGGTGCCTAAAGCCTTCTTTGTCTACCTTTACAGAAGGCTTCAAATGATGACTGATGGAAACTGGAGGATAAATGCTCAAGCTCCCTCACTCTTTCAGTGGGATTATCCTGAGGTACATATTCTACACTGGGATTAAGCTCCAGTCACCCACAAAGAAAACTTGCTTGATGATGAAACATTTATTGCATAATTTCTTCTCCCCCTACCTGTATTACCTCTCAAACTAATTGCACCCAAATTGTTGTGCCAACACTGTACCCAACAAGTAAAACTACAGGAGTTAAGAACTGGATTTAAATTGATAAAGGAGTATATTGTGTCCCCAGTAAACTGAAATGTCTTATTTAGGTCAAGCAAATGGCAATACATAATAGCAAAGTTCCTTTCAGTAACTCTGTATTTAGTTGCGGTTCTGCCCTAGAATTCTATGCAAATATTGGGTGGATTTCAGTGATAGGAATCTGAGTTTTCAGCTCTTCCAGAATGCAACGAACAAATATTTAATTTTAAAAACTAACCTAGAAATGTTTTCCCATGCAATTATGCTTATTATTTTTATACAAGTCAATTCCTATAGTGATCTTCTTCTGTTTCAACAGAGAATATAGTAGCTGTGTACACAAAAAAGATGTGCAACTCATATTAAACCCATGTTTATAGCTAGTCTCAGCAAAGATATTCTATAAAAGTGTTAAAATAAAAATCTAAAAAGAAATTTCCTTACAGAATTAAGAATAGAGACAACAGATCTAATAATCTGATGGTCTCTATTCCTCTTTCACATTTGAAAGCAAACTCCAGCTCTCACCTGTTAGATGTAAAATTGTAATAGCCACTTTCCTCCAGGACTTCTTCAATCACAGTCTAAAATTGAAAAAAACTCAGGTTTGTACTGAATTAAAAGCAACAAAACAAAAGCATTCAGAGGCTCTGCAAAAACCTCACCTGCATCTGTTCGTATGTTATTCCCTCCTCCAGATCAAAGCTGGTGGCTAGCTCTGCAATAGACGAATTATAGAAGGTCTGACATTTGACTCACATTTTCTTAGTTATACTTTATTGGCAATTATTACATCAACTGAAGTGAAAAAGGTCAATTTCTTCTTTTTCATTAAAATATATTAATTGTACAAAATAATGGGCTTTATGATGACATTTTCTTACATTTATATAATGTGGCTTGATCAATTCATACATGCATTACTTCCCTCATCCCCTTCCAAACAGGTGAATTTCACAATAATAAAGAACAAACTTTAAATTCCAAAATGTCTTAGTGTTGAATGGTTAAATTCTTTGTTTCTCATTAATAACTAGCTGCTTTGGTGTGGCCATCACACAGCATAGCTCACAGTGTAAATTGATCAATTAAGTCAATTTGGGGATATGTATATATGTGTTAAGGGAAGGCGAGGAGTGATCCCAAACACTAACTGTTGGGTGAGTTTTCTAATAAGAAACTCACAAATTCCCAAGGCAAAAATAGTAAACACACGTTAGAAAGAAAATAACTCTTGGGGGAGGCAGAAATAGAGAGTGAAAGACAATAAAGATGTGACCCTTGGAAAAATATGCGAAGAAAGAAAAACTACATTTAATGCCCAAAGCCCCTTTTTTGCTGGTTAGTCTGAGAACGAAATTCTAGCACCTTAACTCACCAGATGCCACAGGCAATGCTGGCCAGCTCCCCTGCCCCTTGGAGAGAGACAAGAGAGTAGGTTGGAGAGCGGGGAAGGGATGCAGGGAGATGTGAATACGGGCAGCTCATTTCCACAGCAGCTTTTAAGGGTGCTCCCCACAGTGCCAGGGGCTCTATTTATTGTCTTTGTGTTTGCCCAGGCTGCTGTGACAAGGGCCAAACCTGTCAAGCTCTTGGGAGACCAAGTCAGCTGCCCTAGGAGAGTGTGTCAGCTCACTCTAAGGTCTTTGAGAGATTTCCCTCAGACATGTTCACTTTGCCACAGTTGCTCTTATAAGAAGTCTGATCTGCAGATGACCTTGCCTGACCTAGGAGAGACTTTTCAAAGTACATGTTTTTAGACAACATTTTATCTTGATCTTATGAATTTCTCAAGGACCATTTTAAATGAAATTCTGCCTATACAGGATTAACTTTATCCCAGGAACCCAAGACTTAGGGAAACTTTGACAATTAACAGATAAAATGATTTTTCTGGCTCAAGAAAAGCACAAAAAAGAGTATATTTTCATGCTGAATAGATGTCAAATCTTCATTTAAAACTGACATATTTACTTTCTGCCCACTATTCATAACATAACTACAATTTATGAAGATTCCGAAATTATTTAGGATTCTGGAACCTCTGAGTAGTCAGGATGTTGCTTCTTAAAGCTCAAATGTAGAAGAGCTCAGTTATGCTGAACCCTTACTCATGGCCAGGTACCTTTTATGTTTACTTGATCCTCACTATAATGCTACAATACAGGTATTATTTACCTATCACTTTTACTAATATATTATTTTAAAATTCTATTATTTACTTTAATTATTCTTTAAATGTTATTTATATATTTATTATTTTATTATTATATTTACCTTACCTTATAGGCAAGGACACTGAGGTGCAGAGAGGTTAAATACTTAGTCCCAGGTCAACTACTAAATGTCACACTGAGATTTGAATCTTGGCATCCAGGTCTCTAGGATCTCTGCCTTTAATCTCTATGCTATTCTCCCTCCCTAAGTGAAATTTATCCTAATGAGAAAAAAATTAAATTCATCTGACATGGATTCTCAGGTAAGTTTCAAGTTCTCTCTATTTAGAATATTTAAACTTTTCCATTTCTGCTTTTTTATCTTTCTAGGTGCTTTGGGGCATTTGATTTCCCATCAGATAAGCAAGAAGAAATAAAAGGAAATACAATTCATCCACACAGACTCTAATATTTGTTTATGGTATTAATAAATGATCAAGGCAGCTGCCACAACTGGTAGGATAAAGCTCAGGGAATTTCTAGATTCCTACTGTATGTCCTTTCCAACTACTGCCATAAATAAGAAAAATAAGCTCTGTGTTTCTTTTTAAGTTGAAGACAATGTTTAGAAGCAGCTAAGATCCAAACAATGTGTGCTTGTTGGTTGGTTGGTTGGTTGGTTGGTTTTATGAAAGTCAATTTACCCATGTTGATAACCATTACCTGACTGGTCATTCAGGGACAAGCTGTTTCTATCCGATGAGTGACATAATAAGTGGTAATCTGCTGTAAAAAAGTTTGGCTCAATTGGTTCTGGAGATCCCTGAGATAACTAAAAAGGAAAAAAGCAAAAGCACATTTTATTTTATAATCATAAGCAAATGACAGGCGACTTCTATATAGTCGCCTTCTATATAGGGTTTTCCATTTTGGAACTATGTCTCTACATAGAAAATGTAGTGCTCTGTGGTTTTTGCCCCTTGTAAACAGATAAACATCTTCTTTCCAAAAGAACTTATTAATTGGAAGCAGGCAAATTATAGTGAAAGCAGTTAGACAATTCCCTGGTCAAATGAATAAAAAACACTTTACAGATTTATAAAAGCAAAATAAAAATGGCTAGAAAAATAATGGCATGGGTCTGGGACATCAAGATGTTATTTTTAATCAGGCGTAGGAGGAATAGCTCCAATTATTCAACAGAACAATATGTTTAGTCCAAATCACAACCTTTTTTCATGCATCTGCCTTGAACAATGTCTTCTTGCTGAATCAAGACAAACAAGTTTCTTAATATATTTTTCAAAATTACTGCTAATTAATTTTAATCTCTAAACACTAGTTCCCAACACTCTGAAGAAAGAGCATTTTACCCAGTGGCAGAACTTATTACAGTTGCAATTATTTAATGCTCTTCTATGAGGTTGAATTTTTAAGCAGAATTTTAAGCTAATAAATATCATTCAACTCCTTTCACCTTTAATTCTAACCATTGCTTGGACTGGCCAAGTTTTAGTGCATGAGTTAATATACTTTTGAAATGTCATAAGCTAGAAGCAAATGGCATGATTTGGACTATGTTACTCTGGATTCATACACTCTGTTCATGAGTTAAAATATATCATTATCCTACCATTTGAGAAAACTGGCAGAACACACTACATCTAAATGACATATACCTACCCTGTGATCTTTAAGGATTTACAGGAGAGCAAAGAGCATCTATATATATATATATATAAAATATATACATATATTATTATATATTATATATATAATATATATAAATATGTACATATATTATTATATATTATATATATATATATATAAATATATATCAAAAGATATGTATAAGAACACTTGTTCATAGTACCTTATTTATAATAACTAAAAATTGGGAAAACCAATGCCCACAGACAGAAGAGCACATAAGATATATCATGGCATGTTTACATAATGCAATTTTGCAAAGCAATTAAAAAGAACAAACCATGAGCACGCACAACATGAATGAATATTGAACAAAATTAGACACAAAAATACATAGTGCATGACTTCATGTTTTTACAATCAGGCAAAACAACGTCACAATGGTGACAGAAGTCAAGACAATGATTACATTGTGGCAGAGGGTGTGGTTTAATCAGGAGGGAGCCCTCTGTGGGTTAGAAAAGTCCTATATCTTGATGTGGATGATGGTCATATGGTGAATGTATATGTAAAAATTAATGGTATTATGTATATGTATATGTATATGCATACCTCATTGTATGCATTATGCATTTTATATCTTAATATAACATACATTAGCAAGTTATAACTAATTATTCCATCTTTGTACTTTGGATTTTATAACTACAAATCATTTGTTTTTTCAGTCTCCACATTTTCAAACACTGACTGCATTAGATAAAAATATGATAACATCTATTTTTTTTTCTTGAAAATTTATTTTCCTTACTTCAGTGACAACTGATAAAATTAATAACCCACCCATAATATGACAAGATTGTAAGATTGCAACATCCTGTAATGCAGGAGGATCTGACAGTCACACATTTAATCATTTTCTTATCAGTTCTGCAGGGTGCCATAGAGGTAGCCTTAGGAATTCTGTACTGCTCAGATGCCATGAGTAGGTCACACTGACTAAGATTCTTACTATTTCTCATGCTGCTGAAAAGTATTTCCTGGTATTAATTTTCAAATGACTTCAGATGGGATTATTTTTCGTATTGTTTAGCATAGGAATAATTTGACTGACTGAAATGCTCATCCTAATTATAAAAATCTTATTCAATTTAATTATTAAGTATACTTTGGAATCATTAAGATTTCACAGCCTGGAAGAATTTTAAAGCCTCAAAGAAAGTGTGTGGATTGTGACTTGAGAAGGTCAAGATTGCCTTGTTAAGATGAGAAAGATAAGTCCTTTTCATTGATTTTAAACTTTAAAGGGGGGAGTGAAATTTCCAGTCTTACATCAAATTAATAATCTCCTTTAGTTTAAGAACTACAAATCCTTAGAGAAAGAACCTAGACATAAAGTCAAGGACTAAAACTCACTAGTCTTGCATTCTAGGAATTTTCCAGAACTTCTTTTTGCATTTGGTTTCCAGATGTAAATGGTCTTTTGGCAAATGTTTTTCTGCCCCTTATTATATGCTGAGCTATGGTGCTTTATGATCTGAGTAGGACGCAGAGATGATTTGGCTTCTATGACACTTGTAGTCTGAGTAGGAAATGAGGCTTATGTCTGTGAAACAGCAGGACAATACATCAGATCATGCAGTGTGAGATGAGGAGGTAAGTTCTCAATTTCTGGAAGAAAGACATATTCAGGGAAGAAAGATAGCAGGGTTTTTAGAGGTTCTATAGAAGAAGCATGGGAATCAAGCCTTGAAGGGTGATTTGAGGAGGTGGAAGAAAGCAAAGGGAACACTCTGGGTGAGGGGAACTTGGGACTTTGTAAGGGTCAAGCATTGCATATTAATATCAAAATGATATAAGGAATGTGACATGAACCCATGCCATGGAGTTATGGGGATTCAAGATGAGGAGAGAGGGATAATTCCATTCACTAATTCAGTGAGTTTTTTTAAATCAACTGTTATATGCCAAGCACAAACAAGGAAAAACCCAATGATAGCCAAAAGATGTACTCCTGGTGCTTGCTGCCTACTTAGGGAGAAAAAAGCCTGCGGAACGTCCACTTGCATGCATGTAAAATCACAATTGTGTGGAATGCCTTGAAGGGTAGGCCTGTGGTTCTAGAAGGTAACAGAGCTTTAAAATATATCTGTCTTAGCCAGGAAAGACTTTCCCAAGAAAGTGACACTTAAGCTAAGAACTGAAATGATGAGTATGAACGTGTAAAGGGTAGGATGAGGAGAACATTAAAGGCAGAAGAAAAAGAAAGAGGGTGGTAGATAAGCCAACTTTAGAAAGGACTTTGTGACTGGTGTTTAGAAAAAAAGGGTCATGAGTGGTGTGAGAAAAGGGGAGAGAGAAGGGCAAGGGCTGGGAACACTATGGAGAGAATTTTTGTATTTTATGCTGTGATTCCCTGAAGAGTTTTCTGTGGTATGTGGGGGGGGGGTGGCATGGAGAGAGAAAGAGAGAGAGATGGAGAATGTAAGAATGTAAGTCAGGTTACAATAAAGCCACCTGCACACCTATGTTTATTGCAGCATTGTTCACAATGGCTAAGCTAGGGAAATAGCCAAGATGCCCACTACTGATAAGTGGATTATGAAAATGTACAAAGGAATATATTCAGCCACAAGGAAGAATGAAATTTTGTCATCTGCAGGTAAATGAATCGAACTGGAGAACATCATCTTAACTGAAGTTAGCCAGGTTCAGAAAGCCAAAAGTCTTATTTTCTCTCATATGTGAAATATAGACCTAATACAAATACAGCAATATTATGAAAAACAGGTCACACTAAGGGGAGGTCATATATAAGAGTAAAAGAAGGAAGTTAAAAATGTGAATATAATTGATGCACTCTCTATAGAAGAATATCGAATTTTTAAATCCATTGAAATCTCCATAAGAAGGGGACTAAGGTAGAAAGAAGAAAAATAGAGATGAACCAAATTGAGCTATGATACATATATACATGGAAGTGCCATAAGGAAACTCCCTGTGTAGCATTTTTGCTTAAACAAGCAAAAATGTCATTTTTGTTTTACAAAATCAGAACATGGGGGGTGGGGTGGAAGAGCTCCTGCTGGGGGGGGTGGTATCAGTGGGAGGGGAGGAGGGTGGGAAAGAGAGTGGGAGGGTGAATATAGTGCAAATACTGTGTATACATGTGTGCGAACAGAAAATTAATACCTTCCAGGAATTGGGAGAAGGGGGATAAAGGACAATGGTGGAGGGGGTGCATTCAAGTATATTTGACACATTGTAAGAACTTTTGTAAATGCCACAATGTACCCCCACCCAGCACAACAATAAAAACTGGAAGAAAAAAAACCATCCACCCTATGAAGAACTTCCCAGCTGCTAATGACCTAAGTGGATACAAAGACTAATGTTAAGTAGCTGAAGGGACAGAGTTTAAAGATGGAGTAGAAGGAAAACTGATGCTTCCAGTAGTGTGGACACAGGAAGGGAGAAGAAGGTGGTGACTCTAATTCTGGACATGCCGGATGGCAAAGTAACTGTTACCCAGTGGGTGGAAATGCAAAGGACACAAAAGAATGCCTTTTAAGTGGCAACCCCTATGGCTGGCAAGGCTATGGGGTTGTTCAGCTACCCTACATCAGTACTGAGCACTGAATACTGAGTTCTCTCGGAAGCCACAAGCACTCAGCTCATAGATGGACCTTCCGCTTTTTGCATGCATGCTCTATCTGGAAGAACGAATAGGCCCCCTTCTTCTGCACTGACATAAAAGGGCTTTCCTGCTCAGAATAAACATCCACCATTCTGAAGAGAGAATGACTGTAAACACTTGTGAGCTCAGCTAGTCAAGTAAGTACATTAAAGGGAACAGACTGTCATGGTTACCAACCCTCCTCCTAAAACACCACTAACTTGGGGCAGGTACTGAACAATTTAAGCACTGTAATTTTTCAACTAATAATATAGTACTTTTTAGGCAGAACTTAAACAGAAGAAAACAATGAGAATCTACAAACATAATCTCTACTAAATTTCCCAAACTACCTCTTTCTTTCCATATCAAAAAATAAGGTTACCTGCTGCAGAACAACTACCCAAATTATTTGGGATCTAATCAACTGAGGCAGAACTCTGAAGGAAATTGAGCCAAACATGAGATTAGGTGCCCAAAGTGAGAAAACTCACAACATGCTCCAT